CACTTTAAATGCTGTGCAAATTAAGACTGGATAAATTAAGTTACGTTAATGTGTTTAAATTGAAAAATTGACTCATGGCACTAACGAAGAACAAGAACAACAACAACAACAACAACAAAAACAAACAAACTATGTTCCAAATATTTTAATGGTCTTATATCAATGAACTATTTCTATTTTCATATCTTAGGTAATTTAGCAGAACTGTTAAATTATATATATGCGTTGTATGGTAGAGAAACTTTTGTTTTTGTAATTTTTTTTTTTCTTTTTTTTTCAAGTACTAATTTCATTTATGTAATTTAATAATGATATATAAGATTTTACATGTCCTGCGTGACTCTCTGTATAACAAAGTTGAAAAAAGTTACATCAAAATGAAAATATCTATCGTTTTTCTCTAATAATTACGATTGAAATGTGATCAACTTTACGAAAAATTATTTATTATAGTTGTTCGATGAATTTTTTTGTTCTATTTTACGAAATGCATTTCGGTATAAAACAATTAATCAACATTGGTTGACATGCGTAATGGTGTCTGAACTATAATCTTCTCTTTTTAAGTTTTAAGACAACGTAGCTATCACAATTATATCGCAAAGTAGATTTACTTTATTTATAATCAGTGTATGATATTATAGAAGATAGGAATATAAATAATATTTGTTTTTGTTATTATTAATTATATATATATATATATATATATAACATATAATATATCGAACGTTCGAAAACGTAATTAATCATAATGCAATGTTCCAATGATGTGCTTTTCTTTACAACGTAAAGTACCTAAAATAACCAATTTCTATATAAGAACAACTTGTCAATAATTCTTTCGAACGAAAGAATATTACGAATAAGAATTACAAATAAGTGATTATTGATTTAATTTGTGATATCATTCTTATTTTATTTTTATTTTTATTTTCAATATAATTTACAACTTCTATTAATTTTTCTTTTTTGTTAATTTTGTTCGTAAAACTATTTAGGTACGCTTAAAAAAAAAAAAAAAACACTGATTATTAATAAAGTTATTTACTACAATAAATACGTGAAAGAAATTTTGATAGAAAATATATAATCGTGACTCGCAACGATAATATTTATTAATTAACGAAATAATATTTAAAAGATCACTCTCGTGTAGTTCGTACAGTAGTAAACGGTTGATCCTTTCGTTTTATTTTCTAAAATTAAATCAAAGATTAAAAAAAAAGAAAAATAGTTAGAAAACGAAAATGATATCCTTAAGAACGGTCGAAAATTTAGACATTTTTGGCAACTTTTACATTAAGAGTTTATAGCATTTAAAAACTTGTTTATACATAGAGAAGTGCTTTGTTAGTTACAACTGTTAACTAGTCGAAATAGTATTTTAGACATGGTTCCTGTATATTATCTTTGCTATATTCCATTTTCATATTAAATTATTTTATTATTATTATATTATTATTATATTATTATTATATTATTATGATTTTATTTTTGTATTTTGATTATAGCTTAGATATTTGATTTCCTATATGTACTATTTATTATTATTATTATTATTATTACTATTATTACTACTATTATCATCATCATTACCATCTTTATATAGACTTGGCAGAAGTTCTGTTACTAAAAGTTAACTATAGTGTATAGTCAAATCCTTGTATGCTTATGATTATTATTATTATTATTATTATAATAAACAAAACGATTCTAATGGTAATAAAGATAAACCATCTCCAGATTAAATAGATTTACGATTTTCATATTAAAACCCAGAAGTACAGATGATAGTGCCGCTTGATTCATGTAACGTAATTATGATTCATCTAAATATGCATGTGCACGAACGTATTTAATTTTGGCTTACAAAAGCTACATACATACATACACACACACACATACACATACAGAATTATCTCATTCGCTTTATTCATCAAAAGTTGACAAACGAGTATAATGAAATATCTCTCACTAATTTATATAAATGGTATAATATATATATATATTTAACTATATATTTAACTATATAATACATAACGTAACTATGCTTTCTAAATTTTGCTATGCATTGCTAGATTTATTATACAAAACTTTGTGTACATACTACCCAACGTAATAAGATATTTCTAATATGTTAAGTTACTAGCACTGTATAAATGTAATCGGATAAAATTGCAGATCGAAACCTGCTATTATTATTATACAGGATGTTCTAAAAATATGCGGATATAATATCAGGGATATTTTCAGTAAGCTATAATTAAGAAAACAAAAAACCAGATTTGATTTTTGCTTTTTTCTTATTTTAACTTACCGAGACAACTTCTGAACTTATTACCACATATTTTGAAACACTTTTGTACATATAACATATTTATATTATTTTAATATTGTTCTTTTCATTTTACAACATTCCCAGTTATAAACAATATATTGAAAATATATATGATCAAACATATTTACATTTAACGATTGCAATTATGTTTGATCATAGTTTCAAATAATACAGCACCGAAACACGTTGCTTTGAATGTTACACAAAGCTATAGTTATAAATATTAAAGAGACTAAGTTAATATTATACAATTACAGAAATCTTGCCTTGCATGTTTATTATAATTTTAAGTTATGAATGGTGATACGAATAATTAGTATTTGAAAAAAAAATATTCTAATGAAAAATACGATTAAGAAACATGCAAGTGCGAGAGAGAGAGAGAGAGAGAGARAGAGARAGAGAGAGAGAGAGAGAGAGAGAGAGAGGGAGATAATGCGATGGTGTGATATATAGACAAAATTATTTTTTATATATTTTATCATTTATATATATATATATATAAATTAATATTATATATTTATATAAATGTTTTCTTTCTTTTCTTTTTTTCGATGTGTGTAAGAAAATGATATTATATACAAAATTATGAAATAATTTTAAGCACATTATGCATGTTCTCTGATTTGAAACACGTATAACAGAAAAGCATTGATTTGTTGCATGCAACAGGGCCGACCCGATATCGTCGTAATCAAGATCAAGAAAATGTGCTCATTAATCCAACATGGAGTATTACAACAAGCGGAGGAATCAAAATGTTTGTATAATCACGAGTTAACACACATCGTGTGATAAATATTCATTTCATAGAAATACTCTCCTATTTGTCGTCGTCCTTCTGCTCGTCATAATCACCATCATCATCATCATCATCATCTTCATCTTCATCTTCATTATCTTCATCATCATCATCATCATCATCATCATTATTGTCGTCATCTACGTCGCGATTAAAACAGAACAAAAAAAAAAAAAAAAAAAAAAAAAAAAAAAAAAAAAATTTCTGTAGACCGATTGATTTAAACAACAAAAAAAAAAAAAAAAAAGAGAAAAATCACGGATTAAAAGAAAACGTACTTTTTAGAAGTGAACAACATTACGTATACACATAAAAATCATTCGTAATAATATTATTCATATCGAAATACTACTATTAACAACAACACAACCAACAAACATGCGCACGCATAAAATATATCATTTTATTTATTTTACAATTAAGCTTTATCGATTCCGAGTAGAGACATAATAATGGAGGAAATAAATATGGATTTAATCTAAACGTACTACATAACGAGAGATACTTTTGTGTGTACTAAATGCGATATGTGAAAGGAAGAAAAAATTAAAAAGGGATTTTTTTAAATCCGCCATATTTGCGCGCGAAACTTCCTTCTATAAAATAATAATAAAAAAAAAATTTGCTTCTCTAATATATATAAAAGTGATAATGATATATGATAAAATACATAGAAGAGAACGAAAATGTATAAAGAAAATATTTCATTTTTAATTATCGTCCTGCTACATTCTCGATTCGATATATATATATATATATATATAAATTTTTTTTTAATCTATAGTTGTGTACGTTTGATTAAGTAAATTAATTATCGCGTATGCACGCAAGCACGAAACTATTTCATTTTTGTACTTACAACCGAAGCTTTTTTTCTTTTTTTTTTCCCCCTTTTTTTTAGTAATATCGGCTTATGTATATATATATATATCTTTCTATATTATCGAAGGACAAGTTTCTTTTTCAATTTTAAAAAGAACTAAATTGCCAAAGAATTGCATTTAAATATATTTTTTCATACACCTATATGTGTTTATTATTATTATTATTATTATTATTATTCGCATTTAAGATTTACACGTTATAGTTTATATTAGTTGTTATATTAAATGTTCACATTTTTAATTTCGACGAAACTAAGTATCATATTATTCCTCCTAATAATACCGTGGTATGTATATTTACATATCCTTTTACAATATATTAAGTTTATTGAAGCTTCCTAGTTATAATTATTATTATATTCAAGATATTATATCGCTTAATTATTATAATTATTATTAAATTGATTAATATCATAAGTTTTCCGTTAAACGATTTTGTTTTCTTTTCTTTTTTTTATTTTGTATAAAAACGTTTGGTATTTGTATTATAAAAAATGTATTACCCCTTGTACATATTGTTTTCAAGTTGATATTTCTTTCTTTCTTTCTTTCTTTCTTTCTTTCATCTTTTTTTTTTATACTAACGATAAAAAACGAACCTCTTAAAGGAATTGTATTGTACATTTTACGTGTATACACTATTGCAGTTCGCTGTGAATATCGTTGTGTGTACGAAACATTGGAATAAAGTTCCATATCAAGAAATAATGATCAATTATCTCTCTCTTTTCGTACCCGATTCAAAATCCGATTTATCATAGTATATGTGTACGTATATAAACCTTATTTGTGTGTGTAAGAATGTAATTGAAGATACACATAAAAAGCAGAGGGGAGCTTCTTAAATTTTTCCATTTGGCAATTTTCTTTTATCCGAGCAAATATTTTCTCAACTCTGGGTCTATACTATTTCCTCTTTCACTATCATAAACTCACATATATATTACATGTGTAATATTGCTAATAAATAATTAGCTTTACTACAATTTTTGCGACAACGTACGGGGTGTCACGACTCACACTTTGATAAACCTTGATGTAAAATCATATTGAATGATTCAGGTGTAAATTTACAAATGTTTATTTATTTATATATTTTTATCTTTTTTTTGTTACATTTTTTAAATGTTTGCAAAGTTACGAAGCATATTCGAATATTTGCATGGATGATAAAACAAAATATGCATGATTTGATTACAGAATTGGTGTAGATTACAAAAAAAAAAAAAAAGAAAATTTACAGAAATATAGAAACAAATTATGTGTAAGATTTTTCATACGGATTTATTATATAATCAAATAGATATAATTGTATATAATTCTAAATTTCATATACTGTCATTTTACATAATTCATCTGGTGATTCAAAATAACATGGATCTCTACTTTATGTACAGAGATGGTGCAATAATAATAATTAATAAACGATCTATAATACAATTGGGGAGGGGGTCAACTATCGTTGACATTACTCAACATACAAAGATACAAACTTTTTTTTGTATACATATACACGACACTGCAATTATTATAATTATTATTTTTTATTTCTCTTCACGTTATGTTGTGTCATTAAGAAAATTTTTTTCTTTTCACTTTGTAATATACAAGCATTCAATGATTTATGTTTATATAGAATAAAACTAATATTATACAACTTTGGAGGAATGTTGTGATGGCATAGCACCAACTTCACTATGATTCAATTACTCAAACTGCAATGGCACTTTACAAATTAAATAATGTATCTCTATCATATATATATAATATATATATATATATATACATACATATACATACACATATATATGTATCTATGTATATAAATATATACATATATATATATATATATACAGATTCTTATTTATATATACAATATATGTGTCAATATATATTTCTATATATATATATAAAATATATATAGATATATATATAGATATATCATTTTTATCATTCATGTAAAACCTACCCAATAACGTAGTAACAATAACAACAGTGGATCCTTTTAATTCATCCACTTGCGGCAGTTAGGTGCACCACACGCGCATGCTATCTTGTGCTGGTCATCTTCGATGTCAAATTTATAATCGTATGCCAGCTGTGAAAGAAATTGAAAATATATTTCGTTATGCAATGCGATATTAATTAATGTCAGTTTCAATTCTTAGGGGAATTTTTGTAAAGACAAGTTTTCAAAGGAAAAAATGTATTTATAATGGAGATATTATACCTCTTCTCCACGTGAGATTCTTCGCTTTGCAAATATTATAATTCTGAGATCACGCTCGACTTCAACAATTTCAGCGACACAATTAGGATTACAAGAATGATTAATATACCGTGCAAGCCCACCACAGAGAGTTGCATCAACTACTCTTTCTTCGTCTAATCGAAACATATAAATACCACGATTCTAAAATATTAAAAAAAGAAATAAGAAGATATTTAAATGATTAATATGACATGAAAATATTAATGATAATAATAAAAAAAAAAAAGAATGTATATATAGAGTTAAATTCTACTTACCCTAGCCTCGTATTGCTTTTCTCTAGTTTCAGCTAATTCGGTTCGTATAATTTCCCCTATATATTCGATGACCATCGTATGTTTCTCAAGATCACGTGCAGCATACAAACCAAGGCCTTGAATCTTGGAACGTGCTAAGTAAACGTTATTTCGCCACTCCTGTTTCATCTTCTTATATTGGGAGCTTTTAGAATGAACAAACTGTTTCGAATATGGACAAGCAACTTCACCAGCTACCGTAGCAGTTGGTACAAAATTAGCACGAGCGGAAGAGCCAGTACGTTGAGTGTGAGGTCGTTTCCAAGGTAGCTGATTTCTTAATCGGGCTTCGGTCCTTGCACTACCAGTTGGATTAATAGCTAAAGGTAATTCTAATAAAGGATTGCGTCCATATTTAAATCTATAATCTGTTAGGGTCTCAATGCCAGGTAAACTTTCAAGGACTCGTACTACTGCTGGTTCCGTAAGCCCGAAAAGATCTTCGCCAGAAACGTAACGTGGAAATAATTGGACACTGTTGGTCGATCTACGAAGTTCAGCAAGAGGTTCGAGGATTCGATTCCAAACGGCTCGTGGCGTAGCGTCACGTAATTCAACATCTTCTTGCAATGGTTCTTGTACTAATACTCTGAACTCAGGTCGTCCTGACACGTCATGGATAGAACAGACATATCGACAACGTTTATTGGGCCTTCTCATGCTCCAATAAAATCGTACGATTTTGTAACCGACCGGATAGATGTAATTAGGTGTGTGGAAATTAGCAAGTTGGTGTGGAAGCAATTGTCCAACGCTTAAGAAAATTAAACTACCCACTCTGAGTAGATGATTGTGTTCAGAGTGATGCATCACCGCTGCCACTTGTCTATTTTCGTCACGATTTACATAAACTCTTCTAAATACGGATAACGTTGTCAACTCGTTATCCTTCTCATTTTTCTGTACGTGCTGCGAGCAGAAGGTGCTCTGAAATTTTTATTAGTAAACGTTTAGCGTTTGACGTTTAATGAGGAGTTAACATTCCATAGTATAAAATGTAGATAACTTACTTTGTTCTTATAAAATACACAACCGTCTTTGACAGCGCAACCAAGATGATAATGATTCGTACAACGTGTTTTAAAACATTTCACTGTGGCTCCCGGTTTTTCGCAAACGATACAATTAAGTACAAGACTATGTTGTAAAGCAGGGTCTAAGTTCATCAATGCACCGTTTACTGTTTCATATACATCATCCGACCACAACGCACAATTTAAATGCACCCATTTGTCAACGTCGAAATTAAGTAATCGAGCTGGTCCATCGGCAGTACCGTCTCCTTGACTTTGGCAAAACATGCATCGGCGGCTGTCTTCTGCTTTCGCTGGTACCACAGTCACACCCATGCGGAAAAGCATCTATGAATAGAATTTTCATATTTTATATTTTAATTCTTTTACAATAATAAAATAAAATATGTATATGTATGTATGTCAAATAAACATACGTCAGTAATCTCTTTATCAGTAGACTTCTTATGTTTAGTTGGAGGTTGTATTGCACCCATTGTCCAAGTCTTATATCTAAGACCTCTCCATACTTTTGCAGGTGGGGGTGGTTCGTTCATTTCATTAGACAGTTCTTCGAGAGCAGCATGTTTCTTTGGTCGCTTTTCCTCTGTCAAATCTTCCCTGTTATCGTGTATTTCGAATTCATTCTCAATTTTTATTCTAATTTCCGATTTATTTTCAGACTCAACTTCAATACTTTCCACGTGGTCTATAGATTGCTTGAGTGAAAATTTTTTCTCCTGCATTTTCTTAAAATCATTTTCTATTACCTTGGGATCTACCTTTGGACATAAATGGTCTACTATCGTCGCAGCCTGTTAAAAATAAAAGTAAAAGTGTTAATAATGTAAATTTAATATGTATTCCAAAGATAAATGTTTCTCCCAAATATGAACTTACTTTTTCTTGGGTACTCGTAGGTGTTCTATGCATTAGAGCAAACTGCATGTAACATCCTGCTGAACAAAAACACAATTCGTCGCCGGGTTCTGCTTCTTCCTTACTCAAAAATGGTAAATCTGATACTTTTTTTCTTATTAAGCTATTTAATATCACAACATCGCAATGACGACAGAATTTGGCAGCACCATTCAAAATAGTCTGTATGTCAACTGGTGCTATAAAAAACAAAATTTAATTTATTTCTTTTCTATGCAGATCCAATTATGTCATACAAATTAGTTAATAGGATATTGATAATGATAAATAAAATTATCAAATTGTTTAGTTACCTCCTTCTTTGCCATCTTTTCCCTTAGTTCTGTAAAGTCCTAATTTTTGACTAGGAGGAGTAGTGGTACGTTCTACTATCTGGTAACCAGTTGGAGGAGCTATGTTTAATATACTCGCCAAATCTTTAAGTACACCCATTATATCATCTGCAGCTTGACTATTTAAAGTCAAGGTAACAGTAACATTTCCGTTCTCTCTCAATGGTGTTGGTGGAGATTTTCCAAGCCTGTAGTATAAGAAATAAATGTAGTATAAAAATATATAAAAACGAAAGAAAAGAGGGTAAGAGAGATAATTAAAGTTAAGATTTAATAATTAATAAAATTAATCGCGCGCGAAGCATACCTTGGAATTCCTAAATTTTCTTTATCTTGTTTGGTTGTATCTCTTATATGGGTAGGTTTAAGTCTAATTGGTATAGGAGAAATTAAAGGTATGACAGGTGATACTCTTTTCAACCAATCAGATTCTTCATCTGATTCTTCTTCAATTAATCTTAATCCTGGGAAGTGAGGGACAAATTCTGGTATCACACATTCTGGAGATGATGAACTTATTATCGTATCGGGAGAATCAATATCACGATTTGTTACCAAAGAATTTTCTTTCTTTTCGTCAACTGAAATAATTATTTTCATTAGATAAGAAGAATTTAAAGATGTTATTTTTTGATTATTGTACCTGTATGTGTTATACATACCGTCATCAAGTTTTAGGGGTGGAAATTCCTGATCATAAAATCCTCTCTGTGTAGAAACAGGCTGCTGAGGTGGTAATGGTTCTAATTCGCCAAAAGGTTGAGTATTATAATGATCAGAGACACCAGGTAAATTAGCAGAACCATATGAACCAATTAGATCTCCAGTTCTAGTATTGTAATCCTTTTGGCTTACAATTTTGGACAAATCCCCTGAACCAAAAATAGGACAAACACCATAATTGCTCCCTAATAAAGGTTCCAACACTGCCATTGGTGAAAGTTGCCGTAATTGAATCATAAAATTATCGATGAACGTGTCATAATCTTCGTCTAACCGCGATACTTTTTTACATCGTTTCTTTTGAGGTACCGTTAATGCGTCCTTGCCTTGACTCTGTTTACGTTTCTGCTGATACTGACGTCTTCTTAACTTTTTGAGATCTACAAAAATACAAATCATTTATATACCTTACTCATTAATAAGACTGATTAGTAATACTTCGATGATACATTGGAATAACATGTTAAAAATACGTCGCATGGCGAATCATATACTACCGAAAATTGAATTTAAAAAAAAAAACGGATTTTCAAATTTGATTTTATCGGAAAAGGAAGTCTCGAACGAAAAAAGGTTTTCTTATTTTTTTCATAAGGAATCACCATGCGACTCACTTGTACATGTTATTCGGCTGGACCCTGGATAAATAATGTACCAGTTTTATCATCCATAGAACCATCCATAAGCTCCTCTTTGGCAGTAAGAAAGTCTTTGGTATCGGTTAGCTGGGTAGGTGTACCACTGGACAGAACTTCATCGAGAATTTCCTTTTTGACTTCTACTAAAGGCACTGAATGTTGTGCATTTGCACCCTGTGACATCTGTGATTGGTGACCCATAGAATGGGGCACTGTATGAGGCACTGATGGCTGTACTGGACTAATATGTGTAGGTTGTTGTGATGCAGCTATAGTTTTTTGAGTTACTGGCAATAGAGGTTGAGATTGTAAAGCTTGAGGCGGTGTAACAGTTGGGACTTGTTGTGTGACGTTATTTGAAGCTTGTGACATAGCCTGCGTCATTTTTACAGGTACAGTCGTAGATACAAGCTTTGTTTGTGAAATCATTCTCGAAACTATCATAGGAGTGGGTGCACGTTGCTGTTGCACTTGAGCAGTACTCGTGATAGCAGGGTCATTAGATGTTTTTATCTGAGGTTGGTTAGTATTAGAATCCTGTTGTAATGAAGATAATACTTCACAATTTTTTGTCGTTACTGGTGCTACTTGTTTCACAGCTGGAGTAAGTGTAAGTTGTTGATTTGCTTGTGTAGTAGTAGACGCAGTTTTTGATGTCTGGTTTGTCGTTTGTTGCTTTACCATTATATCAATGGGTCTTTGTTGGGTCAGGGTTGGTGTAGATGTTGCTAATGGTGGTGGTGGTGGTGGGGGTGGCGGTGGCGGCGGCTTTGGTGGTTCTTCCTTTGTTGGTGGACTTTGAACTTTAAGAGGACTAACCGCATGCGATAAAAATGAAGTCTCTCTTGCAAGAACTTGTTTGCTAGCAGGAGATTTGATAGTTGGTGTTTCATTTACCATCGGTGGTATTCGATAAGACAAAGTAGGTGTAACTGGCGTTGCTAATTGTGCTTCCAATGATGGTACCGAAGACAGAGTTGCTCCTTGTGAAGTACTAACTGGTACTGGTGGTAATGTTGAACATACCGTATTTTGTAACAATTGTTTTAATAATACATTTTGAGATTCCTCCATTCTATGAGAATTTGTTGTCAAATTACCTTTACCAGTTTCTAATTCGTTTCTTGTTGTAGCAGGTTTTTCATTACCCATTTGCAGTTTAGAACTTGTCTCGTCTTGTTCTTTTTTCACAGCAGAACTCTGACCTAATCCTTCCAATTCATTATTTTTATTGTCAATAGGTAAAAGAGCTGCAGTCTTATATGGAGTTTGCCCAGAACTATGCTGAGCTTGTAAAAGTGTTGGAGTTTGAGACAATGTAGATTGTAATATACTGGTAGTAACGTTAACGTTGCTTGTACTAGACGTTACTGTAGGTGGTACAATAGTTCTTATACATTGCATAGATGTACTTATAGCTGTCGAGGTAGAATTAGCAGCAATGCGAGAAGGTATAGATGAACTATTTGAGGTTGCTTGCAAATTTTGTGTTCTTTGTACAGTTGGCGATGGTACAGCTGAACTTAATAAGTTACTGACCTGTGTAGGAACAGTGTTTGCCCTATTTCCAGCGATCGTTGAATTTGTATTAGATAACATAGCATTTAACATTGCGTTTGAGGTAATAGATATTCCAGTATTAGTTGGTTGTCTAGAAGTTGCTACAGAAGAAGTTTGCAATGTAAAACAATTTGTTGGTTGCGATTGAATTCCACTTGAAGTTACTCGTAGAAATTGTTCAGAAGTTGTTACTTTGCAATGACTTGAAATAACACTGACTGTAGAGTTTGTACTTTCTTTACCCTGTGAAGTGTAAGTAGTAGTGGTAGTTTCAATATCTGCTTTATTCGTATTCGTATTCGCATGAGGAGACGGTGTCATGCATGTCTGCAAACGAAGATTCGAATTAGGTTGTGTATTATTAACAGAATTCGGAGAAGATGTACTTGTGGATAAGATTGTTCCAACTTTCGGTGCTGAAATTACCGAGGACACCATGGTAACGATCGTAGGTTGACTGGTGGTACAATTTTGAGAATGATTTGTCTGTAAAGAAGAAAGTAATGTTCTCAATTGATGCGATACATTAGCCACGTTTGATGTAAGCTCTGTAGGCTTTGATAAAGGAGAAAGATGAGGTACTGTAGTTGTACATTTTTGTAATTGAGCTACTGTGCTCACAACTAACGGGAGAGTATGATGCGGTGGACTTTTCTTAGACACAGATCCTGTAGGTGATGGACTTGCTTTTTGAGGTTTAGGCGACATTTTATTTTCCGAAGATAAAAGATTTTCATTTTCTAAATTTTCTTGCTCTAAATCCAGTAATGAGTCTTGTAAAATATTAAGAGGTAACGTATCCAGTGGCGTTGGTAATTGATATATAAGACTTGATTTTCTAGATCTGTCTTCATGGAGAATATCGGTATTTGCCATCTCTGGTTTAGAAGATATTATATTATGAAGCATGTCTAATATATCATCAGAAGACTCTTCCATTAAAGTTCTTTCTTCATTAAGACAATGCTCTAAATATGGTTTGTTAGATTCCATTTCTATACAAGATACATTGTCTTTATTCTCTTTATGTTCTTCTTGATTGATATCATTTATAATTTGATTAGTGCTGGTATCTGTACTGCTTGCTTCAGTAGTAGTAGTAGTAGTAGTGATGGTAGTAGAAGTAGTAGTAACAGTAGTAGTAGTAGTAGTAGTAGTAGTAGGTTGCTTTACTGCCTCCTTAGTTTTGTCTACTTTGACTACTTCCGTGTCTGTGCTATCTTGTTTATTGTCATTATCAACAGCTGGTTCAGTATCATTTTCTAGAATATTTACAAGAGACAAATCATCGGCAACAGGTGACATTCTTTTCAATGTAGAGACATTTGATTTTTCATCCGGATGTGCATTCTTTTTCCCTGTCATATTATTTTCAGCAGGATTATGAATAGCTTCTAACATACTTTCTAATTCATCAGTTGTATTTAATGGATCATTCTTTTTATCATCTGAAATTATTGTATCTGGAACTGCAGTTGAATGAATATCTACTTTAGAGGTGAAATTATCTTTTTCTTGATTTTTTTCTGTATGATCCGTTTCGTCTCTTTCATTTTTTCCTTTTCCAGTATCTCTAGTATATTCTATTTTATCATCTTTTGATGTAACTACGACAATATTTTTTTTAGGTAGATCAAGTATTGACATTTTTGGTTTTGATAAAGTAACAGATGTAGGTTGAACACTTAATAGTAATTTTGTAGGATTACTTGTTGCTTCTGTTGTATTTACGTTCATATTTTGCACAAAACTGTTACATTCAAGCTGCGTGGTAGGTGTTGAAATTGAAATTTTTTCCTTTATAATGTACGTAGTTGATACAATTGTATCGTTTACAGTAATTGTTCTTAGTGTATTAGATTCAGACTTAGATTGCTGTGAAGTAACGGTTATATTTTCTAAAACTGCTTGATTAAGTTTAGCTGCTATTTTAGCATCAGCTACAATAGTTGTCATATTCGATGATAAAGTTGTTTGTCTTTGAGAACTCGGTGAACTTGTTATTTGTTCCTTTGTCACGCATACAGTCGGAAATGTCGTAGATGATTTAGCAATTGTATCCGATGTTATTACTGTTGTCGTTACTGTTGCTGTATTTTTTTCAGTTGTTGTACATGTTGTAAACATAATTGTTGATAGACAGCTAACTGGTAAATCAATATTTGTCTGATGTAAACTCGAAGGAGGAATTTGACTGTACGTTACACTTTCTGGAAATGTGAATGCCGTAGGACTTTTTGTTTGTTTCGTTTCCTTTTGAGATTCTGGTTGATCCTCGTTTGAAGATTCTTTCATAAGATTTTCTTTAGATACATCTAAATTAGTTGTAGGATCTACTTTATCGTTCTCTTCCTCGCAAGATTCTTTAAAGAAATTATCTTCAGGTGATTTTGTACTAGGATCAATAATAACAACCTCTGATTCACTATCCAAGGATACCATAAGATCTTGATCTGGTGAGTGATCCATATATGGTCCAGGTGATGGATCTACGCGAAGTTCATCTTGGTCAGGGGACTCTGGTGTATCTGTTACCGCCAATAATCTTTTTCCAGAATCAAGTGTTCTTACAATGTCCAATCTTAAACCTTTTTTATTTCTCGTATGCGAAGGCGCAAGATCTTCGTCACTTAATATAGGTTCATCAGTTTGAGATTCTGGATTTTCAATTTCCAAAATTTGTACCAAATCATGTCCTTGACTACCGTCATTAACAAGTGCATGACAGAGAGAGTCGTTACTGTCAGCAGATAAATCCACAACCACGCCAGGTTCAAAAAGTACATACTCTTCCTGCATGTCACCATCAAGTGCACCTGACATAACATCAACTAATTCTGAATCTCCAAATTGTTCTATAACAGTAATGTCATCATTGTCTCGTTGAGCCGTTGAACTTAGAGTTACCTCGGTGTTAACTATTGTCTTATCATCATCATAATCTATAGTATCAGGAATAGGTTCAAGTTTATCACTTGGGCTTCCTAATTGCAATGGACCATTGTCAGGTAACGACGACGTCTGTTTTAATTCTGTAGATGTCGGTGGCGTTTGAGGTGGTGTATGTGAATCATCGTCGAAATCATTATAATCTGCACAAACTAAAGAATTAATTTTTGACGGCGGTATACCTGTTTTTCTATGTACTGCTGATGTATTAGGTTTTTCATCCATATTCAACAGATGAGATTCTGCAGTTTTACCCTTACTAGTTTCTGGTTTTGACCACATTGGAGAGCCACCTCTTAGACCAAGTTTAAAAAACCCGTACCTTCCAAAGTTAGGTATGAATGGTAATGAATTTATTGGATTATGTGGGTTTCCACCTCCTCTATTTGTATGATCTACAGATGTCTGTTCTGGTTGTTGATGTTGATGTTGAGAAAGTTGTTGTTGTTGCTGATGTTGAGAAAGTTGTTGCTGCTGCTGCTGCTGTTGTTGTTGTTGTTGTTGTTGCTGTTGATCATTCGACATTACAGTGTTACCTGAATTTTGAGAGGCATAAACTGGATGCGGTGTATGAGGAGTATGTGGAGTTCTTGGTGTTCCAGGATTTTCAACACTTTGCGGTCTATCAGGCATCGCTGGACTATTACCAGTAGATTGTCGTCTTTGCATTTGCATTGGAGAGCCACCAACCATCGGACTACGAGGCATTGGAGAATTTGGTGTTTGCGATGGTGGTGGTGGTGGTGGATGATGCGAATTATTAAGTTGATGCTGTAACATCGGTGACGTGGATGGATGATTACGAGCCATAGGGCTAGGTGGTTGACATTGAGCAACCATCGGAGACGTGGGAGGATGTGTATGCATTCTTGTATTCATTGGACTGGGAGGCTGAGAAGTTTGACTTAATTGTTGTTGAAGCATAGGCGAACCCATCGTTTGTTGTACCATAGGACTACGTGGCATTGGTGAACTCGGTGGTTGTCCATAATTTTGAGATATCTGTTGATGAAGTTGAGGACTTGGCGAATTTGCAGGTTGAGATACCATGGGAGAATTTGGAGGTTTTTGCATAGTAGCTCCATGCTGTTGTTGTTGCTGTTGCTGCATTTGTAAAAATTGTTGTCTTTGTTGCTGTTGTAATATTTGTTGCCTCTGTTGTACCATTTGTAAATTACGGCTTATAGCATTCTGATTATCTTGAGTAACATTATTTACATCATGCTGTTGCTGCTGCTGCTGTTGTTGTTGTTGTTGTTGTTGTTGCTGCAAAATTTGTTGTCGTTGTAGCATTTGTTGATGCTGTTGAGTTAATGATTGCTGATTGGGTTGAGGACTTCCAAGCGGAGAACGCTGACTATATACTATTCCTCCTTGTATTTGCATTCTTGGTCTTTGCCCAGGTTCTCCTATTACTGGTGGACGAACGAATCTTTGAGTGAGTGCATGCAATCTAGCTCCTTGTTCTGCAATTATTTGCTGAGAGTTCCGTGCTTCAGCTGTGAAAGAACCTGGACTCGTAACATGTCGTCCTGTTATTACAGCACGATGTTGTGGCGAAGTCATTCTAGTAGCTGTGGGGCCACAGATGCCTGGAGATGACATAGCACCTGGGCTGAAAGGACTCTCCTCGCCTTGCGAATGAGGCGTTCCGATCCTTGGAGATGGTTGCATATTGTGAGGAGACATCGTTCCTGGATTTGCTGTTTGTGGATTACCAGGACTGTGTTGCAATAATGGTGGATTAGGACTATGTTGTACCATTGATGTAGCTGGTGAATGTTGTATCATATTTGCAGAAACACTTCCAGGACCTGGACTTTGAGAAACTATTGCAGCCGGACTATGCATTGGTGAATGTTGGGAAGGAGACATTAGAGGTGAACACGGTTCACTATTCTGTGACTGAGATTGTTTTTGTTGCTGTTTAGTATTATATTCTTGTATCAACATTCCATGTTGTCTCGATTGTTTTCTACTAGAATCTAATTGTTTTTGTAATGCTGCTTGTTCAATCGAAATTCTTTGAAGTTCCTGAGCATCAGATTCTGTTAATTCATTTCCAGATTTCCGAAGTTGTCGTTGTTTGCTATTAAGAGACTGCGTGAAACATAAAACATTAAGGAAACATAGTACTATTTGTATATAAAATGTCACTAAGATTTATTCTGCTTACTTTTCTTACTTTGCGCAGCTTTTGGACCTCAGTTTCGTAAAACTTTTGTTGTGAGGTTAATAATTGTTGTTGATGGGTTAACCACTGTTCATATTGAATTTGAATTTGACGATCTTGCTCATTTACTATGTTATCTGGTGGAACTGGTGGTACTTGTAATTGAGGTAAATGGAATGTAGCTACCCTTGCTGTAATAAAAAAACAAAAAAATAAATAAATTTAAATAACGTGTATACAATTATAAATAATTGACTACTGACGTTCAGGTGTTGTTTGCGTAGAGATTGGTTGTCTGGGTACTTGAACTGCAATTTTTGCCGCGTCTGGAACTGCTTGTGGCCAATTTTTTCCAGGTGCAGATGGTGGTCTTGGTGTACATGGTGGTCTAATAACAGGAATCCCTCCAGGTACTGGTACCATTCCTTGAGGAGGGGATGCTAATGGAGCAGAGCTTAAAACGTCTGCTCTCAATCTCTCAAAGTCACTTTCGCTTAAAAGACTTGCACTAGAAGGTGTGTTATCAACTTGTTGTTGCTGCTGTTGTTGCTGTTGCTTTTCTTGCTCTCTTTTTTCTTGTTCCAAAAGGTCCTCTAATAACAATGGTTGCTCCTGCGAACATGACTGCTAACAGTTAAGGTCACTTTCTATTTATGTGGAATCATTTCATTTAAGCAAATGCATTTTTCTTAGATATTCAATTGAAACAAACAAACAAATTAAAAAAAAAAAAGAAAGAAAAATAATAAGATCAACAAAGACAATTTTTCCATCTAGTATTAATATATCTTTTTATATTTATTATGAAATGCATTTCTAATAAACTATGACATAGCTATATCACATTACATAGCATTTAAGTATGTAATTCGGAATAAAACATAGACATGCGAAAATATTACTAATAAATTATATATATATATATATATATAAGCATTTGTAAAAATATATTTAATCCCGAATGATTTTTAAAAGGCAATAAAACGTAAAAGAAAGCTAATTATAATTTTTTAAATGAAGAAAAAAAAATAAAGAAAAATATTTAATAAATATATTTCATATGTAAATCTTTTACATAAAAATTAATCCATTTAAAAGTACATGCATACACAAAATACATTGCACAATCTTAACATTAAAAATATAACTAGTAATGAGATTTGTCAAGCGTAAAAATATATGGTTAAATAAAAAATAATAACATCTTTTATTAATGAAACACATGTATATTTACAAAATGTTTCGAAAAATGGCAACTCATATTGATTATCTTTAGAATTTAATTTAAATGATTAATATTATATTATGTTATTATATTGTTATTATTATTATGATTGTTATTATTATGTAATATGCAATAATCTTGTGTAATACATCCTCATTTTCTTTTTACTATTGCAGGTGATTTTTTAACTAATTGTGCCGAGTTGAAAAAATGCCTCAAGTCTTGCTCACCTGCAGAAGCAAGGGTCGTCGATGAGGGTGAGGTGCCATTGCAGGTGCACCAGAATGAACCACTGGGGCCATTGGTGGACCAGCCACTGGCATTGCGTGCCCTATATGAACTGGGGGCCGCGTCAAACCCCGCCCACCTGGGCACAGCCCCATCTAGACATGCACCAACACCAAATGCATTGCAAACACCCAGGCCAAAACACCATTTTACCAGCCAATACTTTTTAGATTAAATAAATCGCTTGGCTACACCTACTTTGACAGCAAACTTTAATTTCTTTTTTATGCGTAATACAACAAATGTATTTTTAATCCCTTCTCGTGGTTTTTGCTTTAACGTACGATTAAATCTACTCTATTATCGCGACATAATATTAAAATCTTTATTATATATTTTCGTTCCGTAGCTTCTAAATCAATGCAAACTGTTACTTCATTTATTGAGACTTGAAATAATTTGCATAATACTGAGCCTATAAAACTTAATAGAAATAAAAAATAATAAATTTTAATATTAAAGAGAGTAAAGTAAAATAAAAAAAAAAAATAAGAAGATAAAAGACAATACATAAAAAATACGTTAATATCAAGTATACGATGAATTCGAATGAGGTCAATTTCTTTTCCTTTCTTTTTTTGCAGTTAGAAGGGTGTTAAATGTAATTAGATACTGGATATGAAAGCGATGCAGAATTAGGAAACATTAGAGATATGTTATTTATACAAACCTGTATAGGACCAGGATATGGTGGAGGAGGTCCTGGGTAAGGTGGCGGTGGAGGCGGTGGTGGTGGTGGAGGCGCAAGTGGCAAACGTGGTCCTATCATATGATTAACTGTTACGACTCGACCAGCAACATTTTGGACTCCAGCAACCCTCATACCAATACGTTGCTGTTGTTGGGCAACTATAAGCAATTTAATAAAATTGTCTTTTTTTATAAGGATAGAAATCAAGAATAGAAATAAGATCAATTGTGTACGAGAATATTAAAAGTAAGATCGTATTACCTTGTATATGCGTTTGTGGTATTCTTTGAGGATGTCCAGGAAATGTCGAAGGATAGCTGACGGTAACTGTATTGGTCGATGTGACAACGCCAACAGCACCATCGGGAGATAACAGTCGAGTTCCTGGTGGCATAGGTCGTCCGATTGCCGCTGCATGTTGTAAATGCTGATGCATTTGTTGTTGTATAGCAACAGCCGGAGAATGTGTTTGCGGTAAAATAGCCGATTGTTGTTGAGGTACTTGCGGAGTTGCACTCAAAGGAGCCATCGGTTGTACTTGTGTTGGTACTGCAGTTGCATCAGTCGATGTTTGCACAGTGCTTCCTGTACATTTGTCACTAATACCAGTCAGTACTCTACCTGTTCCAGCCAAATCTTCCGATTTGTGTTCTTCTTCCTTCGATTCCTTTTTCTGTTTTTCCTCTTTCGTTTCTACTTCAACTTGTTCCAATTCCAAATCAAGAATATTAGTTTTGTCACCTCCAGTTATATTGTTTAATTCGGGGTCTGCGTATTCCAAAATATTAAAATCTGCACCCATTTCAGCTGTTAAAAAAATAAAATTTATAAATGTTACGTGAATGTATTTTATTCAATTAAATAATTTATACGTTCACATTAATTTTTACTTACCAAGGAGTTCATCATCATCATCGCCCAAATCACCTAATATTGCACTCACGCCCTCGACCTCGACCATTGGTGCTCCTTCTTCTTGTTCCAATTTCTCAAGTTCGGCAGTTACATTATCTGGAATTTCTGATGGTTCTGGAGTGCTAGTAGTTTCATTAACAGTTGTTTGCATAAGGTTAGGTCTAACCAATGTTTGTGCTCCTAACATACGCATTCCCTGAGTTAAATTATCTTGGCCTGGCCGTATCATACGTTGACCAAGAGTTTGTCCTTGATTTGGTTCTACATAGTTTATTAAAATTAATATATATTTGTGTTCTTTAAATATAAAATAAAAAATATAATATAAACGAGGGAGAGAGAGATAAAAAAAAATACCTGGAAATCTTTGTTGCTGGAGTACATCATAAGATTCCGATAATGTATTTCTAACAGTTTGCATCCGAGTTTGTAAGGGTTGCGTACCTTGAAAATGCTGTTGCGAAATACTTGCATTTACTTGCGATCGTTGCAGTAACATTCTAGTACGAGAATCTATGGGTTGAAGTCTCGCATCCATATTTCCCGTAACAGGGAGCCTCGAAGTTATTCCTAAGTGTATATATATATATAATTAATTATATAGTAAATATTTATATCGTAATAAAATGAATTTCTAAAAGAACGTATAAATCATACCAATTGGATTTCTTATTAAAATATTTGGTTGAAGTGGCATTCGTGGTCTTACGACACTTGGTGGAAGAGGATGCCTAAATGTACCTTCCCCAGTATTATTATTGGATTGAGAATGTTGTTGAAGTTGTACATGACCTGTTTCGAATTGTTGTTGATTTCCGTCAGGATTTTGTCCATCTTTTAAGAAAAAAACAACAGATGATTAAGCTTATATTAAAGATTTAAAACGTATATAACGAATTTGTATTATGATCTACCTGGATTCCAAGAAGCATTGACAGAATCAATTTTCTTAAACTGTTGTCTTTGGAGAAGATCGCGCAACTGTCTATTAACTTCTGGTTGTTGATTAAATACTTCTTGCTGTTGTGGCTCTTGCCGAGATTCTGATCTTGGCGAGGGGTAGTTTGGAACAGGTGATGGTGTTGGTGGTTGATTACTATAGGGATCAGGAGTACGAGATGGAGCGTATACATGAGTAGTGGGTCGCGGTGTAGGTGGATTAAACATTGGTCTTGGTGTACCTGGCGGCTGCGAGAAAACTTCATTTCTTGGTGACGTAGAATACGAAGGTTTACCAGATATTTGTGACCTAGCTGTTTGGGAAGCCTGAGAGAAAGCCTCGTTCGTATCGAACCGTTGAAAATGATCTTGAGATTGAGAGGAAGCTGGAGACTGTGGAAAATCATGAGGAGATTGAGGAGCTTGGGGTGAGAAGGGAGAAGGCGGTTGTGTGAAGTTATTTGGCATGCCTGGTCTAACCACGGTTCCAACTGGACGTGTAACCGTTGCACAAGGCTGAGTTGGTAAACGCGGCATACCTTGATGAGGACTTGGTGGAGCTACCCCTCTTGTTACTTTAACTGGAGGTGTTGCAAAGGTACCACGTGATCCAGGAGATGGGGAAGCAAGTGGTCCTAAATGATTATTCTCCTAAAAAAATATCATGTATAAAAATATCGATGAAATACTATAAATACGCAAAAGTATTCGAATATTCAAATATATTTATATAGATATATAAATATACCTGTGATGTTGAAACTTGTAGTTGTGTTGTTAATCCAGCTGAATTATCAGTACCTAATTGTGAAGTATTGTCTTCGCTTATTTGTCTTTGTACTCTGGCTATAGCTATTAAAATAATTCGTATAATAATAAAATGTTGTACATTCAGATATATATCAACACGTTTAGTCTTACATACCATGTACACGTTGTTCTTGAATTACTTGCTGTTGAAATTGTGCCTGTTGTTGACGTAGAGCTTGCAGTTGTTTCCATTGACGCTCTTGTTCTGCTTCTCTACTAGAACGGTCTCTATTGGAAAGTCTTTCTTGTTCCTGTTAAAAAACAATTTATTAAAAATATGATAAATATATAATAAAAGATCATTATATCCTTTTTATATAAATACCAAAAACTATAAATTGAATTGAATTGAATTGAATGAATTTCGATTTATGGAAAAATAAGGTGGTGTTAATTGTTATTTATATGGAATTATTGTAATATGTGTAATGTAATAAAAATTATTCTCTAGGATATAATGACCTATTAACCAAATCATCTTTTGAGCAATATAAAATACAAGGCATTAATGACAATCAGCCAAAATGTTTTATTACAACATTCACAAAAACATACTGGCATGATACTAAAATTAAATTTATTAACAAGACCTTTTATTTTCACATGTGCAACCAGCCACCATCTATAGGAATAAGACTATTCATACTCCACTTAAATCGAAAATTCATTATGTTCAAATAAAACAATCATGAACTTTCTCATCATCACCACAGACTGTTTTTTTTTTTTTTTAAATTTTACTCATGCAGGAAATTTATAAAAATTAAAAAGAAAAGAAAAAGAAAACAAATCTCAATAAATTAAAGTAAGCATAATAAAATGAAGTTTACGGCTATGAATCAATTCGTAAAATATAAAATACATGTGCGTTAAATCAATGTTAATAATTTGTAATTGAAAAACAGTATTAAAATAAAGCTATGAAATATCTATTGTGGAATGGAAAAAAAAAGATTTTAAGAAAAAGTACATTATTTGTTAAATATCAAATACTAAAAATTAAGAATTATTTTTACTAATGCAAGTAGACTTCTCAAATAATTTTAAGAATGCAATATATCAACCTATATAAGTTACAAATATGTATTAATGATACTCGTTACTTAAATAATCGTCTTGATTACTAGTTCATGTTATTATAAAATACAAAAATTATAAAATAAAATAAAAAATCTTTGACATATAATGCAAGAAAAAAAGAAAAGAAAAAAATAAATAAACATCCAATAAAAAGAATTGGTAAAAATATCTGAAAGTGTTGGAAGTAAAAATAATTAGTATAATAAACGTGTAAATATTTTACGAACAAACAATTCTACAACATATCACAACATATATCTACTTAACACCCTTTAACGATGTTCGTAAAAAGCTTAACGTTTTACTACATAATGAGGGATACATTGGGTTTTGCTTTTTTTGTTGTGGAATACACAGACAAAAAGGATTCGATATGATATTTAAGGAAAAGGGAAGAAAAAGAAACGTAAATGGATGCCTTTTAACATGCCAAATGATTTGAAATATAAATTATAGATAGAAAAAAAGAAAAGAAAAGTCTATTTTAAATTACAAGAAAAAAAAAAAGAAATAAAAAATAAAATTAAAATTGAAGAAATGAAAAAGGTTTGAAATATTACAATTTACAATTATTAAGGGTAATATCATGGCCATACAAAAAACAAAAGGAACAGATTGTTTGCACATGAAATATTGAAGTTTTGTTCATTCCAACTAAACGACGAAAAAAAAATGGAATCTCATATCAAGAGCTATAATGATGCAACATCAAAGTGATCGCATTTGAATGTAACCATTGTCCTGAAATATTTTAATGTTTATGTAATTAGAAATTACATCAACGTTCATATTTAATATTGTATTTCAGGACTATAGTACGTCACAATTATATCGACGAACGTATAGAAATATATATATATTGCAAAATAAATTTGTATGACTGTTATTGATATATTCGTTCTAAAAGATCAGTAAAAAATAGACAAAAATAAAATAGAAAACCCAATAATTGTATATAGATATATATATGTGTATAATAAAAAGTAAAAAAAAATACAAAAAAAAAAAAAATAAAAAACTAAAAAGAAAAAAAAATTAAAAAACACTAAGTCTTAGATACGTGGCACAAGGCAAGACACTAGAGGCACAGAATAGGTGGCTCACCATAGCCGGGGTCTGTACAGGTACAGTGTGAATAATTGTAGTGGGTGGCGGATCGTAGTGCTCCTGGCTCAAGGAGGGGAGGGTGCGCATGATTTCAGATGGGGTGAGCACTCTAATCTGGTGGTCTACCGAGGATAATTGGCGGGCAGGAGCTGCCCCCACCATCACGTTAGCAGTGGGGGATGCCTGAGGAATAGCCAGACTGTTAGAGACAGTACTGGTACTGATCGCAACATGAGAAGGTGTAGGACGTTGTTGGGATGGTGACGTTTGATGCTGCCCTTCACCGGCGCCCGTGTTGCAGTAAGAAGAAGCAGTTGCTGATGTGCAAGGCGTGGCTGGCGACTGAGCTACTCTAGCCTGGCCACCCGTAATCTCTTGGTGCGCCAGGCTGTTAATGGAACTGATAGAATTGACAGAACTGGGTCTAGGTGAAGAAGACGGGGTTGTGGAAGTTGACGAAGGACTCGGGGAAATAGATGTTAGCTGCTTCGGCGGTCCCTGCACCGCACACACCTCCGCATGATGATTACTGCTAGCTGATGGCACCGCCACTCCTGTTGCAGATACGGACATTCCACTCTTTTCTTGCGGCTTTTCACTGCTCACTGAAGTCAAAAGTCCAATTTGCCTTTGGTTGGAGGCCATAGCTACTACTGGAGAAACTTGAGCTGATGTCATAGCAGTGACAGGTTTGGTGATGATGGTAGGTGCGCTTGATGCAGTGACTGGGGTCGTGCTTGGTATTTCCTTGGATATCTGTCGGTTCAAGGGGTGCCACGTTCACACACTTTTACGTTACAGTACTCATGGTTTATATACTTCCAAGACACATCATACAGGATAATAATAGAAATTTTAACTCTGCATGGTTGACTGAGGAATATTTGGGGGAACTATTAGCAGGATCTATAGACAATGTAAGTACTCCTATAATAAGGGAAAATTCTTGATTCCAATAATTATCCGAATCGCCGAGAAACAAGATATATATATATATATATATATCTTAGATGTTTTGTTAGATAATTAATAGATTAAATTTCTATGATCTTGCACTTTGATAATGCACATGGGATTAGATAATTACATTTATAATAACAATAAAAGAAAATATATCAAATATGTACCCATGTAAAGTTATTGCAATGTTAGTAAGTTGTATTATGAAACAAGGCATCAACATCTCATCTTTTTTTCTTTTAAATATTCTATATCTTTAATAAATATATCGATTGTATTGAGGATATTATTATAATGCTGCATATGTGACATATATCCGTATTTAACTTTATCAGAATAGTGTAATTATATTCGACATATTAATATATGTAATTACGATGAGATGTAAAGAATAAGCTTGTTAGTTGTAACTTTTATGTTAGCACAAAACACCATGTAAAATGGAAAAAAAAAAAAAAAAAAAAAAAAAAAAATAAAAAAAAAAAAAAACGGATACGTTTCACGAAAATGTCACGCTCTCTTTTCTAACTTCGCACCGCGATAGGAATCCAAGAAATTATTCTTACCTGTTGTGTTTTCTTCATACGAATTGCTGCTCTGTTATCTCGTGCTTGACTTAGATAAGGAGCTTTCTTTTCGTTAGGTAGAGCACGCCACTTTTTTAAAATTTGTTTACATCTTTCAGCCCAAACTAAAAATAAACCAAACGTATATAATTACAGTATTACATAATGAAAGATTACAGATTACATAATTAAATATCACATTAAATGTTTTCCTGTTACCTGGATATTCCGTTTTCCATTCTGGATGATTCATATTTGCATAAAGTACTGAAGATATTGTTGCTCCATTACCTAATCCTTCATCAGTCTCCATTTTAAGATTACTTCTTTGGTTGTACGATATCGCACCACCACTCACTGGAGCACTTCCTTCATCATCAGGATTTACCCAAGGACTTGGTGGTTCCGAGAACGCTGGGCTAAATTGTGGACTACTGTAAAATTATCATTTCGTACATTATTAGATATACTTTACAAAATTTTCTCCTAACGTATTTATTATATATTTTATTAATTTAATTTACTTACTTGCTATACTCCGAATGATATGGCGATGGCGGTGGAAAACTCATAGGAGAATTTAAATTAGATTGCCCAACTGGGGGTAATGTACCAGGTACTTGCGGTCTTGCAAGAGGTAAAGTTGTTTGCATACCTTATAAATAATTAATATTTAGTAAATAATTCGATTTTTATCAATAAAATGGTTTATAAATGATGAAAATATATTTTTACCAGGATGTGGTGAAGGTGAAACAAGAGGTGTCGAGGAAGATGATGGATGTGGAGGTTGAGCTTGAACTGAAAACACTGATGATTCTTGTGATTCTTGGGATTCATCTGTAAGAACTCCTTTGAATATGTCTTCAATATCTTTACTATCCATATTAGGTAAACCTAATAAACATATAAACATTAAGTTTATTATTTTGTATTCTTTCTTTTACTCATATGTTAATAAATTGAAATTTGTTATCCATACAGTTAATACATACCAATATCTCGGACCATTGATTCTAAATTAAAATGAGGACTAAGAATGTCTGTTAATTCGTCCTTAGTAGTTCCTTGCGTATCGTCTAATTCGTCCAAAGCTTCACTAGCTTTAGCTAAATCTTCGTCTGGTTCATTCATAATAGTATTTACAAGATCACTATCAAGTATGTCACTAGAAATAGGTAATATATCATGCAGTGCTTCTGTATCACTGCCATCATCTTCCATAATTTCTTCTCGTTTTATTGGTTGTTCCATTGGCAATTTATCTTCCTCTTTTTCTTGCTTAGCTTTAACTTGTTCCATTACTTTCAATTCATCTTGGGACAATTGAATAGTATCTGCATTAGTAGTAGCAACATTACCTTCACCATCGGATCCATTATTATTTTCAGGATCTTTATCTTTGGTAATATCCATAAGGTCTTTGCCAAAGAATGCTTCTTGCATATAGAGGGGAAAACATTCGGATAATTTTGTCTTTGGTTTTCGTCTCTGTGGTTTTCTACGTGGCTTGTCATCCCCCATTCCTGCCATTAATGAATCAGATATTTTTTCAGGATCTCCTTCCTCCTCTTTATCCTTACGATTACCTCTTAATCTGACAATGAATCCACCAATGCCAAGCTTTTGTAAATTACGTTGGCGTTTGCGTCTTAAAACTGGTATGCCATTTTCAGTCGTATAAATACTAAATCCTTCCGGTGGAGGTTGATCTCCACGTGGATTCCATACCATACCTTCTTTAAGTATCTCAGTAGGTTCATCTTTAACATCTACTAGATCCATTTTTCCATTATCTTCTAAGGAATTGTCTAAACTACCACCAGCCACAACAGATTCTATCGTGGCCATTATGTCTGCATCTTTATCTACCACGGGAATCATTTTTCTTCTTTTTTTCCTCGGTTGTTGATGTTCTGACGTTAAAGATTTAATGTGATTCATGCCAGCCTCGGATAAATATACACCATCTATTAAATAATTTTGAGAAGATGGTTTGTATAATTCGGGACTTCGCACAGTTGGTGGTGGCGAACATGAATATTTGTTTGGTTGGAGCTTAGATTGGCTACACGTAAGATGTGGCGGGAGTACGTCTCTTGGACGACAAAGTATACAAATATATCCTTCCTCGGCACATTTTTCTGCATCTGCTTCCGATTTAATGGAATCACATGTACAATGTAACCATCTCTCACACTGAATGCACAGTATTATGAGATCTCCCTCGTTATAAGCTTCTTGACAAGATATGCATGCAATATGAGATGCGCATGGACCACATTGTGTGTAATTTTTTTGCCAGCTGCTGTTAAATCCTGGATCATTTGTACCACATGTTTGGCACTGTGCACACCACTTACATTTCCATGTTCCATGAGGCACATAATCTAATGGTGGATCCATACAATAGATATGATAACTGATATCACAATCATCACATAATATTAAACGACTTTCATCATTTCTTTCGCCACAACCTTCGCATACTGTACAATCAAGGCACCGCCAACCTTTTTGCAATATTACTTTAGTAACTTTAACATTAGCACAGTAAGGATGATAACATTGTCCACATTGTGCACAAGCAATTAAACATCCTTCCTGATCAGTTCCTATCGCACCGCACATAACACAAATATCTTGAGTTAAAACAAATTTATCTTTTGCAGAGCATAATACTAATCTATTTTCTACACCTGGTTCATCTTCTTTTGAAAAAGAATCTGAACTTGGTCTCTGAAATTAAAAAAGAAAAATGTACATGAGAACGAACGTATACATATCACTTTGTTACATATTTTAATATTTATAAAAACGAAAAAAAGAGAAAAAAAGAAAAATTGGTTTACCTGCAATCCTACCCCTGGTACTCCAAAAATACCTCTCATCTTAGCTTTAGGACCTCTTTTTCTACCAAATTCATTCATTTTTTGACGTTTTTGATAACCAAGTTTGCCTACACCTTTTGGTCTACCTATCAAGGCTCCTCCCAAGCCTAATCTCTTTTTAGCGATTTTAGATGCACAAAAAGGTTTTCCTTTTCCAAGTCCAATAGAAAATAATGCTTCTTCGGAACTTCCTTGATAATCAACCTCAGATGAATCCCCATCTCCGTAAAAGCTTTCTTGCGATCCGCTGAGACTAAAGTCACCTGTATAATCATCAACATTGTCTTTTCTTTTTACAATAGCCGCACTTTTACATTGAAGGCAAACATATTCATAGTCAGGTTTAGTTTCTTTGCGATGCTGATAAGTTGTTGGGTCAGCCTCTGAATCACAGGTACCATGAACGAATTTTTTACACACGCTGCACTGTACCATTTCTCTATATGCAGCTGCTCGATATGCTTTTCTGCAAAGTGGACAAGAGAAACCCTTGTTCCTTTGTTGGTAACACGAGTCACAAACAGTGTAGTGAGAATGCCAACGTGACGATAGTCCTGCACCAGGTGTACGCGAGCCACAATCTGTACACACTCTACAACATTTACACTTCCACCCATATTTAGGTATTGATGTTACAATTGGTCGTAAACAACCAGGATGATACGCTTTATCACATCTCTCACATAACATTATTTTTGAAACATCTTCAGGTTGACGACAAACCTGACATACACGGCAGGATAAGCATTGCCAACCAGCACGTACTCCAGGTAACAGGGCTAAACCAACGCAACTACCGTGATAATGTTGTCCACATATAGAGCACATTACTAGGTTAGAAACGTCTCCCATTCCATAACACTGCATACAAGTGACATCACCACCATTTACTACAACAAAATATTGAAATACGTCATTCTTACTATTATGTAATATAATATATTATATAAAATATTATATATATAATATTATATAAAATATATAGTGTCTATAAGTATATCTATATGTGTGTTTACTAAAATAAAATATACTTAATTATGCATAGACTTACATAATAATGGAACCTGTCCCAAATGTTGACTACAAAAAAGTGATGATGTTTTTGTATCTTGGAAACAACTTGAAGCTGCAGCACATGGTAAATGAAAATAACGATTGCACGATGCCACCTGTTGAATTGAACAAAATATATATTTAACTTATTGTTTTCTTTGAAATATAAGAAGTAACATTGCAAAATACTTACTTTACAAGCTATTCCAGCTCCATAATGAGAACAATAAGCACAACGACGAGATGAAGCTTGCACTATTGCAGGGCTAATGAGTTCAGTTGCGAGATCATGACTATTACTTGACCACGTTGCACAAGACTGATGAACATAATAATGCCCTGTTGGTTCAAATAATATTCCTATCTCTGGCTCTTCCAAAAACCCAACTATAGTTAATTCTTCCACTGGTTCCGTAAAGTTGGTAAGACTAGTATTTCTGCACTTAGCCAAACTTTTTTGTCTACGACAAGTAACAGCACCTGGACCTACTGCACGGGGACTTTTATCACCGGCAGATACATCCATTAGTTGTTCAGTCGTCTCTTCCCGATTAATATTTTTTTCAGGAGTAAAACCTTCTGGACATGATAATCTTAATAATTCTCCTTGACCCAACTGACTTCGTTCGCCCAAATTGCATAGAGCACAAACTTTTCCTGGCCTAATAATATCATTGTTTATAAGTATATGTTATTTTAATTATTAATTATCATATGTAAAAAATTACAAGTAAAATTACCATTGTTCTGGAAAATACGGTGGTTCTTCCGGGGCAGGCATAGATCTTTCTATATTTAATCCTTCTCCATCAGGTGTGTCTTCACCAATGCGAAGAGGACTCGGAGACTCGGAGTGGGTATCATCATCTTTACTTTTTGTCCTACGTGGCATACCTCTCATATACCCGAGCCTAAAAACCAAGAATCTTTATCAAATATTAATTTTATCAATTAAAAAGAAAATATTATTTCAAATGAAAAACTAAAAATATTTTTCAAAATACTAACCCTTTACCCCTTGTTGTACCTCTACCAAAAGATCTTCGAGCGCCTCCACCACGAGGGATACCATATGGACGTTCTTTTCTTGGTCTACCAGGACCACGCCTTATACTTAGTGGTTTACCACCAGGTAGTGGAAACTTTTGGTATCGCAGCGGATCAGGAAAAGCTTCCTCGGAATTGACTACAATGGAATATACTGTTTCTAACAAACACATGAAATACATGCAATAATACAGTATACAAAACAAGATTCAGTTTTTTGTTTTATTTTCTTTTTGGATACTAACGGTTACCAAGGGAAGGAACTGGGCCCAGCAATTGATCTGAATTTGCTGGCGAAGAAGGAATTCCTGTGGTCTCTTCATCTTCATCTTCACCATCGGAGGCATCATCGAGCTCCATTTCCTCCTCTCCTTCCAAGCGCTCTTCATCGTCCATGACACCTTTACAGGAGTCAAAGTGCTACGAATACCTAAAGAATTTAGATATTAAAAAATTACTAAACATTTATAATACCTTCAAAAATAAAAATATAATATAAGTAGCCTTAAAGTAGAATGCTTGTTTTAAAGTTACCATCATAATCATATCATCTAACTTTATATATCCAATCAAATAACATATTACTTAAATCATGTAGTATAAATTAATAATAAAAATAATTAGCTCACATCGATAAAACGTTCTATTATATTTAAGCAAAATATAAAGTTTACGCACTCTTTCTAAATTTTAACAATAACAATCCATAGATGCAGAAATCTCTCAGCATAAGATTAATCTAGAAAACAAATAAATCAAACAACAACCTTTGAACATGTAGACAAGGCAAACCAAAATCCTGAGTCACTTTGCTTCTTCGTTTAAAATTTGCTTAATAATTTTTTTATGGAAATTTATTTCTTAAATAATTAAAATACGATAAATAATGATATCTCGATAAATTCTAAATTGCTTAAGAGCAGATGCATATATATATATATGTATATATATATATATGTACTTGTATATATATGAGTATATCTATATATACATACGCGTACTTCGTGAACGTATATACTCGTATTTTACGTGTTAACCATGATTTAAATATTTGCATAATAATCTTTTTGATCGAGAAGAAAGTAAATTGAGAAATAAATTTATTAATGAAAAACTTAAAGGTAAAGAAAGAGAGAAGGAGAAAGAGAAAGAGAAAGAGAAAGAGAAAGAAAGAAAGACTGAAAGAAATAAAAAGAGGAAGAGAGAGAGAGAGAGAGAGAAAGAGGGAGGAGGGAAGGGGAGAGAGAGAGAGAGAGAGAGAGAGAGAGAGAAGGTGAGAGAGAGAAGGTGAGAGAGAGGAGAGAGGCGCGAATGAAACGAAAGAATAATAGAATAAAATGGAAATATAAAACAGGCGCGATTTCGTGTTAACTCACATCCTCGATTTCTCTGAACAACTTAGACCTCTGCCACGAAAGGATGGCGTGCCGCCGCTCGGAAATCGGCGGTCATACCGCCAGTGGGGAAAAACCGAGACACTGCACCGCGTAAATCACAGTTTTCATTGCAGAAAGTATCACTATAATAATAGGGTTAACGAAGAAGACGTCCTAAATCGTGCCGGTAATCCAATTCGATTAGAGATTAATCGAGTTCTCGTTAAATTTCCTCGCTAAGAAAGCCGAGGATGATTTAGTTGGCACGGTCTTAAATGCTACAGTACGCCATTGCTATGTCAGGGTTTGCAGGCTATAAACACACCACGGACGCTCGTATTCCAAATTAGCGTCTCACATACCTTCCAGTTATTGTTCCCTCCTTGTCAGATTCATGCCGATTTTACATGTGGAATTATACGGATCTTCATCTAAATACGCACGGTCAATGCAAGTAAACATCTTGTAGCAACAGAAAAAAATGTCAGAAGCTGATCAAACGGAAGAATGCACGATACTCCGAAAGACTAAACCCACGGAGTCCGGATGTTCTAACGGAAATAGACTATCCACCCGTTATACCATGTGCAAAGTGGCGCCCTCTTGGCGGCACAAACTTGAAATATACGCATATGTATGTATACATATACTTATTATACTTGTAGAGTATATTCGTGTAGAGATGATTTTTAACCCAGTAAAAAATAATCTTCGATCGAATCTTGGAACATTTTTTGATGATTTCTTATTAAATCTATCGAGTAAGATTTACGAAAATAATCATTTCTCATATGTTCCAGACATTATTATTGATTGTTAGTAAGTTATTTCACTTGTGCAAATTATTTTATACTTTTCTTTTTTTTGCATCCTTGAGCACATCCGTTCGTATTCATATCTCGGGATTTGAGATATATATCAATAGTTGGGGAAAACTTTTGCACGCTTCCTCTTCGTTCAATTCAATGTCGTCATATTTTTAATTATCGACAAAAAAAATGAGAAAGATATACTCTTTCGAAATAAGTTAATGGTAGAGAAAGCGATGATATCGAATATTTCCAAGAAACTAATATCTATATGAATCGATTTTTCTATTTCTTTATATTATTATTTCTTTTTATCCATGTTCAAAGGTCATGTCTTTCTCTTATCTTTATAAAAATTGAATGCAAAATATTAATAAAATTTAAATGTGGATATTTCACGTTCGAAGAATATTACATGCGGAATAATTGATTCGACACTTGTTATTGATTTTATTGTTAAAAATTCAAATATTCATTTTTTAAATAACTTCTAATATTATAAGTCAATATATATAATAAATAATAGTAGAAAAGGAAAATAATCAACATGTATTTACGCGCGTGATCAAGAAAAATTGGCTTGACCAATAACGCTGTTCGTTACATAGGAATACGAGCCATTCTATTGGCTGGCACGTTACGCGTCGCTAGTTTTGTACAGGTTTATATGTGCCACCAGTGTCTCGACGTAAATGCGCGCCATTTTCTATTCAATCTCTTAGCATTTGAAATTTGTTAAAGTTTAATTTATTTTATTATCATTCATTTTTTACAAATATTATTTTTGTCGTTATATTTATACATTTTTTCGTCGTGTTTATATATTTTTAAAAATATTTGAAACAATTATTATTATATATGAACAATTAGAAATCAATAATCGATTAATTTTTGTTATCATTAGATAGGTTGGTTATAATTTAAAAAAACTTAAGTACAACTATCTAATGCATTTATGAATAAAAATATGAAAAATACAAAAGATTTGTGTAAAATTTAAAGCATAAATAATTTTTGCAATTTAATGGTAATGTTCGATGATGAACGATACAAAAATACAAATTCCTTTCGTAATCAATTTTTAAAATGCTAAATTTAATTTATTATCAAATCCGTATAATTTATATATAATATTATTTATAAATTTCACGTAATAATGATACTTCTTTACGTCCTTGATCTTCTAAAAATTTAAATATATTCGATAAAACTGAAAATGAAACGGAAAAAACAATTAATTCTTCTTCTTTTTTTTAGAAATTATCTTAAATATTACAATATTATCATTACCTTTCTTATCATTTTTACACAAAAACTTTTTTGCAAGAAGAAATCGGTTTAATAGGCTAATTGATTTCAAATAACAAACAATTAATTCACAATCTTCGGGTACACAAAAATATTTTCCTAAACATCGTAAAATAATTCTCAGCATAAATCCATCAAGCTTATTACCTATAACTAAAATATTAATTTATGAATAAAACGCGCACATGTGTATATCTCATAACATATAAAATTCATATATATATATATATGTTTGCATTTGTATATATACAAAAATATACGTACCTGTTCCGATATTGTCTAATTTGATAGATCGTAAAAGTTTAGCACGCAGTTGTAAATTGTGATCAGTATCTTTAAAAGTTTGCCATAAATAATTAAATTTGTGTGGACACAATATGACATCCTAAAAATGCAATGATAATTATATCTATAATTTATTACATATAAAAATCATTTTTTCATCGAAAAATAAAATACCTTAAAAGTATCATTTTGTTTCTGATACATTTGATCGTCGTCGTAATTATTATCAATACAGATTCTTTTCGGTAATGACTTATATTCATTTTCATTTACGTTATAATTATTATTATTATTATTATTCACTCTTTTATTATCCAGCTTAACGATAATATTAGGTTTTGTTGTATGTGATTGGTCATCAAGCGTTTTTTTTAGGTCAACTTTTGAAATATTTGACGTAGAACAAGATAAAATAGACTTTTGTTTATTTTTCTTATTATTTTTTGATTTTTGACTATTAAGAATGGAAGCTTTATTGGACATTATTTTGTCCGAAAGAGTCATATTAGTATTCCTTGGTTTAAGATAAGTTTCACTGGAACTATGTAAAATCATGTTACTTTCGTTTTGAATACAATAATCCTCTTTGATATGTGGAAAGGGTATAATACTGTAAGACGGTCCTGGTCCTCTTTCACAATAACATATGTTATCATTGTCACCAAAACTATTCAACTTGCTATTAGATATCGTTAACAAATTCCGGTAATACAAATCTAATTGTTTATCATAAATTTTATCTACGTCGACTTTCCTAAATGAATCTAGCAACGTTTCTTCTTTAGTATCGAATCTATATAAAAACGAGAGACGATAATTAATACGATAAATTGGAATAACATTGTTATTACTTACCTAACTTTCACCAATTCAATATAACTTTTGATTTCTTGGAATACAGAAAATGACTCTTCGTAATCTGATATTAACTGCCAAGCTTTATGTAAACTATCTGCAGCCTGTTATTTGTATAAAAAAAAAGAAGAAAAACAAAAAAAATAAATCGATATTGTTTCATAATGTTATTAATTATTTAGATTATCATTATTTAATTAGTTTGTTATATTGGCTATCTCTAAGATTTAATTCTTTCCTATATATTCATATATGGATAAATACATATGAGATATTGAAGATGATCAAATTATTTGCAAAAGGGATTACTTCGTTATGCGACAGTAGATAACGAACGATTATTTATATTATAAATAATAATTGTAAATGTTACGTACTTCCTCCAACTTCTCCAGTTTTATCAAACAATAACAACGACGATACATTGAAATAGCATCTTTATTATCCTGACTAATTAAAATATCGTAATCTTTGAGCGCATCTTCGTAACGGTTTAATGCAAAATCTGAATATAACGGATTAAATTTATTTTAGTTTTCTGTTTTTTTATTTAACACAATTTAAATTTAATTTAATTATTCGATCATTTTCTTACATAAAGCTGCTCGACAATTTAGTGCTCGTGGACATAAATTTAAATCAACACAGAAACTGTAATGTTCTAATGCACCATCGTAATCATTCCTTAAGTAACATTGATCTCCTTGGAATATTATCTCTTCGGTGATCTGATCTATTTCTTCACTTGAACATTTAGCTAACGAAAAAAAAGAAAAAAAATTAATTTTCATAAATATTCGACTCTCTAAGATTTTAATTATCGCGAATAATTATAAATAATGTTTATGAATTATTATTTTGCACAGTTATATATAAGTGTTCCTTTTTGAAATTAATAAACGATGACACTTATGAAAAAACAGTTATGTATAAATTAATGAATCATTTGTTCTTACATTTATAGTTCTTCTTTCCTAAATGTTTTTTCGTTGTTTGTTTTATCTCATTTCGTCTTTTTTCCACCTTTTCTGTTTGAATTTTGTTCTTTTTATTGTCTACCAAATTAACGTTTTCCTGTTTGTTGTTTGGTACAAGAGAAGGATCGGTAAATTTCGCATTTGAATCTGGCAACGTTCCTTCTGTGCTTTTTTTTCTAAATTGCAACGTAAACGAGAATTAATACGATTAATTGGAATAACATTCGTCATTACTTACATTGGTAACTGCAATTTAATATATTCTTGTAATTTTTTGAATGGAGGAACTATCTCTAAGCAATCTGGTTTCAGCTTCAAACATGACTCGAGAAAATTTGCAGCCTGTTATTTGTATAAAAAAAAAAAAAGAAAAAAAAAAGATTGATATATTGTTTCATAAAATTTGATGAATTATTTAAATTATCATTATTTAATTAGTTTGTTATATTAACTATCTAGGATTTAATTCTTTCCGACATATTCATATATGGATAAGTGCACATTAAATATCAAAGATAATAACATTTTTTCGACAGAGATAATTTCATCATGCGAAAGATTATCGTAATTGATATTATAATTGTAAATATTACGTACTTCCTCAAGCTTGTCCAGTTGTATCAAACAATAACAACGACGAAACATAAAGTCAGGATTATCACTATTCTCACGGAGTAAAATATTGAAATCATTTATCGCATCTTCGTAACGTTCCATCCGAAGATCTAAATATAACGGTTTGAATGTACTTTAGCTTTCTATTTTTATTTAACACAATTTAAGTTTAATTTCATTATTCGATCATTTTCTTACATGCCATTGCTCGATACTTCAGATCTTGTGTAGATGACTTTAACTCAACACAAAAATTGATATATTTTAACGCACCACTGTAATCACCCTTTAAGAAACATTTATTTGCTTTTAATCTTACTTGTTCAACGATCGAACTTATAGCTGTACTTGAACATTTATCTAACAAAAAACAAAATGATGAATTTTCATGAATATTCGACTCTCGAATAAGATGTTAATTATCAAATAATTATAAATCATATTTATGAATTATTATTTTGCATAGTTATATATAAGTGTTACTTTTTTAAATTAATAAACGATGACACTTATGAAAAAACAGTTATGTATAAATTAATTAATCATTTGTTCTTACTTTTGTTTTCGTTGATGTCAAAAGATTTCGTCGTTGTTCGTTTTATCTTATTTTGTTTTTCTTCCATCTTTTCGGTTTGAATTTTGTTCTCTTTATTGTCTACCAAATTAACGTTTTCCTGGTTGTT